GTTTGGCGAATGTACATGGCAGAGGGGCATTGTTGGCACATGATGGCATATATCACATTGGTAGATGTGCAGGTGAACAAGCCTCTGATGGTGTGGCTGATGTGGTTGGGTCCTCTGATGGTGTCACTAGAGTAGATATGGGACAGAGTAGGCAACGGGGTTTGTTAATTTGGGCTTGAGTAGGGACTGGGAGTGGCTGGCTCACTAAAAAAGCAATTTTTCCTCTCTTGGTATTGACACCTCCTAAACAATTATTGGGAGTGGACCACATCCACCCTGACTGAATTGGCCTGGACATCACTGGTTCTCCACTGGTAAGGTGACTTCCCTCTCTTCATATGCCAGTATATTTCATAGAATCATAGACTATCAGGGTTAGAAGAGACCTCAGGAGGTCATCCAGTCCAATCCCCTGCTCAAAGCAGGACCAACCCCATCTAAATCATCCCAGCCATGTATCTGTAATTTTCACTTCATACATCTGAAGAAGTGGGGTTTTTTACCCACAAAAGCTTATGCCCAAATAAATCTGTTAGTCTTTAAGGTGCCACCAGACTCCTCGTTGTTTCTGGGAGACCTAGAAGACTGAACAAATATATTCACACTTGCCTTCGTGGTATAAAAATGATAGCCCCTAAGACCTGGTTGGGAGTAGCCTTCAGGCAAGGGTACTGCCTAGCAGTGGGATGGGAGAACTGCCAGACAGCTACTAATCCAAAGGTCTGCAGGAGACAATACAGTCCCCCGGCTGATGGAGCGTGTGGCTCCTCATGGTTCCTGTCCAAAACCTAATCTACATTGCCGTTGAAACCCCCTTCCAGGACAATAATAGTCTCAGGGTCACAGCCAAGCATGGCCTGGGCAAGTGTCTGCAGAAAGGATGTGTGGTTTTGTCCCAGCGTGTGTGTGTGTGCGGGGGGGGGGTTCAAGAAAGCGTCCCCTTCCTATTCCTTCAACTTGACTACTCCTAGGCCTTAAAGTCAGAAAAGACCATCATGACCATCTAGTCCGATTTCCTGCACGTCACAGGCCACAGAACCTCACTCACCCACTCCTGTAATAGACCCCCTAACCACTGGCTGAGTTAGGGAAGTCCTCAAATCAAGGTTTAAAGCAGTGGTTCTCGACCAAGGGTACACGTACCCCTGGGGTACACAGAGGTCTTCCACGAGGGGTCCATCAACTCATCTCGATATTTGTCTAGTTTTATTACGGGTAACACAAAAAGCACTGCCAAAGTCAGGACAAAACGACAATTTCATACAGACAATGACTTGTTTATGCCTCTCGATAGATGACACACTGAAATGTAAGTGCAATATTGATATTCCAATTGATTTATAATGAGCTGGTAAAAATGGAAAGGAAGCAATTTTTCAGTAAGTGCGCACCGTGACACTTCTGTACGTTGCTGTCTAATTTTGTAAGCAAGTCGTTTTTAAGTGAGGTGAAGCTTGCGGGGGATACACAAGACAGATCAGACTCCTGGAAGGGGTACAATAGTCTGGAAAGGCTCAGAACCACTGGTTTAAAGACTTCCGAGTTACAGAGAACCCACCGTTTATGCTAGTTTAAACCCGCAAGTGACCTATGCCCCACACTGCAGAGGTAGGTGGAAAAAACCCCGGGGTCTCTGCCAATCTATCCTGGTGGAAAATTCCTTTCCAACCCCAAATAAGGCGATCAAGTAGACTCTGAGCATGTGGGCAAGACCTGCCAGGCAGATACCGGGGAAAGAAATCTCTGTAGTAACTCAGAGCCCTCCCCATCTAATGCCCCGTCTCCGGCCGTTGCGGAGTTTTGCTATGGGCAGTCGCCGATGGGCCACAGGCCATTGTAGGCAGTCTCCTCATCCCATCCCCTCCGTAAATGTATCCAGCTCAGTCTTGAAGCCAGTTCGTTTTTTTGCCCCCCACTGCTCCCCTTGGAAGGCCATGCCAGAACTTCACACCTCTGACTGCTCGGCAGGTGCAGCGAAAGGGGACCCTGCCCCGAGGCGCTTCCATGCCAAACACACCCACCCTGAAACAGAACAGGATTCGTATACTCCGGAGAGTGCTGTAGGGTGACAGCTACCCCAGCTCCCAGCCCCTCCGGAGCCAGGCCACACTCAGCTCTTCAGGGTAAACCCCCCCTGCCGTTCAGGGTGACCCCCTTCTCCTCTCTCACTGACCCGGGTTGGGAGATTTCTGACAAATCTGGGCACGGCCAGAGAGCTGGGGAAAGAAATTTCCAGAGACAGTTACTGGCTCAGGAAAGGGGAGATGGGTCCCTCACTTCAGACAGCAGAGCGCGATCTGAGTGGGGCCGTTACCCGACCATCACCCTAGGCGTGACATGGTTTAAGCCCAGCGGATCAGCATCTGCACCCGGAGAGCGGGATGAGGAATGTTAGCTCTACCAAAGCTCATTCGTGCCTCAGTGACCCTGCGATGGGCCCAGCCGTTCCTGCTCATGCCAGTGTCACCAGCCGTGGTCTCTCTGGGTGGGAGGGTTGCGGGCAGGGATGCTGAGGAACAGAGGCTTGGTCTCTGAGCTCCGCAGGGTGCAAACTCCAGGACGTTCTCCAGACACGCCTAGCATTGAACGTGACGTCTGGATTCTGGCGGATTTGTGGGATCTTCCCTCTCCCTCCCCCAGTCCCAGCCCCACTCAACCTGGTGCATGCCACTGGGGGAAAAGTTCTGTATACGGACCACTGTGGCAACGCCAGGATCCCTGGCCAGGCATCAGAGAGACAGCAGGGCAATCCCTTTCTTCAGCCCTGTCCCGGCCATCCCGACTTTTTTGGCCAAAGTGGGCATTTGTCGCTGAGTGGTGATGCCAGTCCAAAGCAGGGGGGAGGCAGGGCATGGGCGAGCAGAGATGCAAGCCCCAGCCTTTGGGAAATACGGTCACCCTAGACAGCAAGGGTGTTAGCTTCTCCATCCCCCGTTCTCACTGAGTGGTTTCACGTCAACTCAGGGCCTCAATAGAAGGAAAAACCTTCTCCCTAAGTCACTTGACTTCAGAAACCCTGTCATGCTTCCCTGCCGGGGAGTGGTGGGAAGGGGCAGGACGCTTACAGATGCCACATCTAAATCCTCAAGTATTGAGAGGCTTTGGAGAACCTCAGAGATCCAAACACCAGAGTTACAAACTGACCAGTCAACCACACACCTCCTCTGGAACCGGACATACGTGATCCAGCAGCCGCAAAGACCAAAAAATCCAAATTCAGACACAGTACAGTATTGCGTGAAATGTATTTGACAGAAAATAAAGGGATAGCAGCCATTTTCTTCTGCATAGTAAAGTTTCAGAGCCCCCCAGCCATGTTCAGGTGTAAACTTTGGAAAGAACAACCAGAACGTTTCGTTCAGAGGTACGAACGTCCTCCGTTCCCAGCGTGTTCGTCACTCCGGTGTTCTGCTGAATTGCCAACCCCAAAGGCTCAGAAACCCTGAGGCAGGCTCACCCAAAATCATGAACATGTCTTTACAATCATGTGACTGTGTCAAAAGACATTTGGGCTTCTTTTTATTTGCCTTCTGCTTTCTGAGTCTTCAGGGCGCACGGGGGTCACATTTTGAAGCTTTCTCTGTAGCCACGAGGGCTAGAAACTTACTTTTTTCTTTAAGAGCGAAAAAATGTCCACTTGACTCCAGGAGCTGGGGCTTTACGGAAAACAATAATCGTCATGAGAGTTGACAACACTGAGGAAGGCCCCACCCCATCTGGTCTCAGAGCTCTGAGACATCACAAGGCTGAATTCCCCTCCTACCCGACTAGACTGGTTTGAGCATTGGCCTGCTAAACCCAGGGTTGTGAGTTCAATCCTCAAGGGGGCCATTTAGGGATCTGGGTCAAAAACTGGGGATTGGTCCTGCTTTGAGCAAGGGGGTTGGACTAGGTGATCGCCTCACCTTCCAACCCTGATATTCTATGAATTGGATAGACCTTGTGGCTCCTTTCCACCAGGAACTGTTATGGTGGGAGGTAACAAGTGGCTCTGCTTGCTATCCAGGCTGACCCCAGGTTCTTTTCCTGAGCACGCGAGCAAATGTTTAGCCTTTGGGAGACAATGTGTCCCGGTGTATTTAGGGCATCAGTTGTCCTTGGAGAGAAGTCGTGGCAGACAGCCGAGTTGGCTCCGGCTTTGTTCTCTGAATTCAGAGGCAATTTGTCACCCAAAGCAACAACCTGGGAACCAGGCGTCGGGATGGGCTGAGATTTCTGGAGGAGCAGGCTTCCCCTGGGCTGTTTCTCCGCTCCAAGGCAGGTGTATTTGAACAACAATAAATCATACTTAGAATTAGCCTAGAGTCGGCTCGCTATTTCTCCTCCAAAGGTGCAAGGCCCAGGACATCTCTCGCTCAGCCGTGGGGCCACACTGGCCTCAGTAAGGTAATATAATAACAAGAGTGGCAGCAGAGGTTATTATTTAACAGCTTGCAAGAGCGTTTATCTCACAAGGAGGGGGGTGAAACACTGGGATGGGTTCCCTAGGGAGGTGGTGGAATCTCCTTCCTTAGAGGTTTTTAAGACCTGGCTTGACAAAGTCCTGGCTGGGATGATTTAATTGGGGATCGGTCCTGCTTCGAGCAGGGGGTTGGACTAGATACCTCCTGGGGTCCCTTCCAACCCTGATCTTCTATGAACCCTAATCTATGAGGCTATGAATTCATGCAATTATTATTCAGCGAGGCAAGGGTCTGGGCTGACGGGGCGCGTCCTGGAGGGAGAGGGGGGATCTCTGAGGCCCTCGGCGCTGGGGGCGGGGGGGGGGGGTACTTGTCCTCAGCCCAGGGATGGGGCAGCAAATGGAGGGGAGGGGCAGATGTGGGGAGGCGGGAATCTCTCTCCCCACTGATGCCCCCTGCAGCTGCAGGCCCTTGCCCAGGGTCTCGCTCTCTCTCCTCTTTCCCCCTGTCCCGGTCCCCGAGGGCAGACCCCAGCCCCCGCAGACACCCCCCAGCCCGGGACGGGGCGGGGGTTTGCCGGGCACAGGAAGGGGCTGGAGCAGCCGGGAGCGGTGGGTGCCGGGAGGAAGGAGGCAGGAATCAGGGAGAACAAAGAACAAGATCATCAGACGCTGGGCGAGCAGCTGCGGCTCCCCCCGGGGTCCGTGCTGGGGGGGGGGGAAATCCCCTCATTAACCCCTCCCTGCCCGGCCGGGGACTTTCTCCCGCTGGGACCAGCCCGGAGCCAGAGGGAAAGTGAGACAGAGACCGTGGGAAAGTGACCGTGGGAAAGTGAGGTATGGAGGGGGGGGGGGTCCCCCCACCCCGTGTCTGTGTCTGGAAGGGGAGAGATAAACACTCCGGTGGAGAGGGGGGGGGGAGACTGTGAATTGCAGGGGATTTGCCTGTAAAGGGGGGGTCAAGTTCCAGCAGATCTTGCCTGTCTTCTCTGAACACCCCCCCCCCCCCAAGTTTTGGCCTTTTTCTTCCCCATGAAAGCTATAAACTCCGTGTCTATTCCCCGCCTTTCCCTCGCCAGCCTGCCCCAGATTTGCCTCCGGTTTCTCTGCACTGGCCCTTTTAAATCGACAAAAGATCTGCAAGTGTGTTCCCCTCCCTCCCCCCCCGCACACACACACACACACACACACACACACACACCCCGGTTTAGGTGGCCAATCGGTGCGCCCACTCCTTCGCTAAATAGCAAGGCAGTTGTGGGGTGCGGCTGCTTCTGGGGTGGGGAAGGCGTGCCCGTTCTCTGCCAGCAACAGGGCAGGGGCACAGGAGGGGGAAAAGAGGGCCGTGCTCCCCCTACGTAGACTGACCAGCCCCCGGTCACCCAGTCTAGGCTTCCCCCCAGCTGCCCAAGGCAGCTCCCCACCCCTGCTGCTGGGCCCACACGAACTTTGGGCTTCACTGCCTGCCCTTCGCTTCCCCTGCCCATGTGGGTGGCCGGGCAGTGGGGGAACCATCGCTTCCAGAACACCTCTCCGCGGCTCCATCTCACTGGCCGGACCCCAACCAGCGGGACCCCGCCAAGAGCTCCCAGCCTCCTACGGCTCCCAGAGAAGGTCTGTCTTCAGGTGACCTCCGCAGGACTTAGCGGTTCATTCCCGCTCCCTCCTTCCGCCAGGATCAGTGCACTTTGCTTTCGCACACGCTACGTATAAATGCACTGCGGAAATGCAGCCACCTCTTTGGAAAGAGCAGGGGAATTTTGGATAGGAAGAATCTTTTCCTCTTATGCCAAATGCTTGAGTGATTTAATGTTCAGACAGGGCTGCATCTGTGACGGTCTCATCTGACTGTAAAATATAACACCGCAATTTCGAAATCAAAGTCAGTGTTTCTTTTTAAATCAGGACACTAAGGCTCACGGTAGTTTGAAAAAACACTCATCTTCCCGTCCTCTTGTATTAACAGTACAAAGCACTTTGAAAATCCTATAGATTATTCAACCTTCATGTTGTTTATATTTTTTCACTGGATCGGCTTGGATAATTAAGGTAGGTCTGTCCAGTTCCCCTTCAGAGTCTCACGCACACATACAATGATCCATTAAGAACAGAAGAACGGCCCTACTGGGTCAGACCAAAGGCCCAGCTAGCCCAGTGTCTTCTGACAGTGGCCAGGGCCAGTTGCCCCAGAGGGAATGGACAGAACAGGGAATCATCAAGTGATCCGTCCTCTCTCTCCCATTCCCAGCTTCTGGCAAACAGAGGCTAGGGACACCATCCCTGCCCATCCCGGCTAATAGCCATTGATGGACCTAACCTCCATGAATGTATCTAGTTCTTTTTTGAACCCTGTTATGGTCTTGGCCTTCACAACATCCTCTGGCAAGGAGTTCCCCAGGTTGACTGTGCGTTGTGTGAAGAAATGCTTCCTTTTCTTTGTTTTAAACCTGCTGCCTAATAATTTCATTGGGTGACCCCTTGTTCTTGTGTTATGAGAAGTAGCAAACAACACTGCCTTATCTACTGTCTCCACACCAGTCATGATTTTATAGACCTCTATCGTATCTCCCCTTAGCCGTCTCTTTTCCAAGCTGAAAAGTCCCAGTCTTATTAATCTTTCCACATACGGAAGCTGTTCCAGACCCCTCATCATTTTTGTCGCCCTTTCCCTGAACCTTTCCCAATTCCAATATATCTCTTTTGAGGTGGGGCGACCAGATCGGCACGCAGTATTCAAGATGTAGGGGTACCATGGATTTATATAGAGGCAATAGGATATTTTCTGTCCTATTTTCTATCCCTTTCTTAATGATTTCCAACTTTCTGTTCGCTTTTTGACGGCCGCGGCACGTCGAATGGATGTTTGCAGAGAACTCGCCACAACGGCCCCGCGATCTCTTTCTTGAGCGGTAACAGTTAATTTGGACCCCGTCATTGTGTGGTTCACTGCCCACGCTGGGCAGACTTTACAAACACATGGGCTCAGGCAAACCTTCATTTGGCTTGACGTCCCCCCCCCCCGGGCTTCTTTCCAGAAGGCCACTCGCATAACTGCTCCATAGATAGGCCCCTAGATAGGTCCCTCTGCCCTCAAAAAGCTTTTGCAAACACCGTGTGGGGAGGTTCAAATGCACAGCAGGGAATTGTTGCCATTGGAAGTCAGACCACACCGGTCACAAAAACGTTTCCGTTCGTCCTAGTTTGGCTAATTTCCTTTTAACACACAACTCAAAAAGCCAGCCATATTTAGTGCTTATTTATAAATCTCAAAGTGTTTTACAGAGGAAGGTCAAGGTCATTATTTCCATCTGGGAAATGGGGAAACTGAGGCATGGTGCGGGGGTGTGTGTACAGAATAAACACCCCAACCCGTGGCCAGAGCAGATACGTACCCTCTTTGCAGTTGCTGTCCCAGACCCTGTGATTCTGGCACACTGTACCCATTCACGTCATGTAACCGTGATGGTTCTGCGGCCCTGGGGGACTTTCTGTGGCCATTTATGTTCCTGGGTAAATTTCAACAAAAGTGTACGCACAGCTGACGTTCACCCTAATGAGGGTTTCACGCGGGAACAATCAGACCCCGTCGTTTTCCCAAGGGGCGCTCCACCGAAATACACTCGTTTAGCATCAGAATTTGTCTTAACTTTATTCGTCTTACCTAGAGCCGGTTCCTTTGCCGTCGGTAAATGGGAAAGGCTCACTCCTTCAGGCTGACACTTAATGCTTCACACCTGCTCTTCCTTCTGAACTGGGAGCACAGTTGTCGTTGAGGGACAGTGTTATGTTGACCCAGTGACTAACCTCAACGTAAGAACATTTCTGCCAGCTGATCCAAGTAATTGGTCTCTTATGCAGTGGTAAGCCAGGGCCAGTGAAATACTGTTTTAGCCATTTTTTTAAAAGCACGCAAAAATAAATAAATTACATAAACTGATAGGTAATGGCCAAGAATGAGGTTTATAGGACCTTTACATGAAGTTACAATTTATCAACCGGTGTGGAGCTTGCCTGGAGCATTTCTCTGGCAGATAAGTGACTGTTTTATTGTGGCTTTATCTCCTGGCTATTCAGGTGGTGACAAACCATATTCTGCTAATCATAAAATCGTAGAAGATCAGGGGTGGAAGGGACCTCAGGAGGTATCTAGTCCAACCCCCTGCTCAAAGCAGGACTGATCCCCAACTAAATCATCCCAGCCAGGGCTTTGTCAAGCCTGACCTTAAAAATATCTAAGGAAGGAGATTCCACCACCTCCCTAGGGAACCCATTCCAGTGCTTCACCACCAGGCGTTTCTCCCATCCCCACTGCGCAGCCCCCGGGTCCCTGGAAACCAATGGTTCTCTCATCAGTCTCGGGCACCCGATACTCCAGTCCCGTTCCCTGGCCCGCTTCATACCCTGCCTTCCAGCACTGGTAGTCTGACGTCTTTCACTGTCTTGCCTCCATGGGCGGTCAGCTGGAGTCTCAACCCAGCTGGCTTCCATGTCCTGGAGCTTCAGCCACCTCCCATTGGGAACCTGCAACACGTATCTGCTCCCGTCACCGGTCAGCCCAGACTAAGCTGAGCTGTCCCCTTTTATACTCTGATCCCCTCCTCGCTAGGCCTTTCATCTTCACTCTCAGTGACAGGTTTCAGAGGAACAGCCGTGTTAGTCTGTATTCGCAAAAAGAAAAGGGGGACTTGTGGCACCTTAGAGACTAACCAATTTATTTGAGCATGAGCTTTCGTGAGCCACAGCTCACTTCATCAGATGTGTACCGTGGAAACTGCAGCAGACTTTATATACACACAGAGAATATGAAACAATACCTCCTCCCACCCCACTGTCCTGCTGGTAATAGCTTATCTAAAGTGATCAACAGGTGGGCCATTTCCAGCACAAATCCAGGTTTTCTCACCCTCCACCCCCCCACACAAATTCACTCTCCTGCTGGTGCTAGCCCATCCAAAGTGACAACTCTTTACATAATCAAGTCGGGCTATTTCCTGGCATAGATCCATCTCAGTGAGATGATCCGGGGCACTTGCCCCTCTGGTTACTGTTCACTTTCGGGGACACAGAGTGGCCTTCTCGGCGTTTTTAGGAGCCCCTTTGGTGACCTGCGCATGGCTGTGTGTTCCCAGCAGAGCTGGGAATAGTTAAATATCCCAGAGTGTCCTGCAGCTTAAAGCAGCTGGCTCTGGGATTTTACTGCTTAGAAATGAGCTTGAATACCTTGAACGCTGCATGCCCCGCCTTGGAAAAAAGTTAGAACTGGAAAAAGAACAGAGAAGGGTCGCAGAAATGATGAGGGGTCTGGAACGGCTTCCATATGAGGAGAGATTAATAAGACGGGGACTTTTCAGCTTGGAAAAGAGACGGCTAAGGGGCGATATGATAGAGGGCTATAAAGTCATGACTGGTGTGGAGAAAGTAAATAAGGACGTGTCGTTTACCCCTCCTCATCACACAAGAAGCAGGGGTTGGATGACATTAAGAGGCAGCAAGTGGAAAAGAAGGAAAATTGGAGTTACTTCTTCACACAATGCAGAGTCAACCTTTGGAACTGGCTTTTAGGGGGCCGTTCTGAAGGCCAAACGTATAACTGGGTCGAACAACGAATGACGTCATTTCACGCAGGATAGGTCCCTCGGTGGCCATTAGCCAAGATGGTCAGGGAGGCAACCCCATGTTCTGGGTCTCCCTAACCATCTGATTGCCAGAAGCTGGGGCTGGATGATAGGGGATGGATCACTCATTCATTGTCCTGTTCTGTTCATTGCCCCTGAAGCCGGCCACTGTCAAAAGACGGGATACTGGGCTAGATGGACCCTTGGTCTGACCCGTGTCAC